AGAACATGAGGTAGTGCAAATACATGACATGATGAGATTAATAAAATCTGGAGGAAAATTAAAGAAGATGAGAGTTTCTCTAATAAAACTCCATTCAAGACGATCATAAGCCTTCTCGAGGTCAATTTTTACAATGAAATCACCCTCACGACCAGCACGTTTACTGAAAGCATACACAACTTCTTGAAGAATGATGACATTATCCGAGCTCTTTCTACCAGGGATAAAGCTAGCTTGGCATGGGGAGACCAAGCTGTCCATAAAAGGCTTGATTCTGTTGACAAGAATCTTAGATATAATCTTATAAGAAGTATTGCACAAACCAATGGGACGAAATTGGTGCAAGGATTCTGGACTACTCACTTTGGGGATTAAATCTAAGAGGCACTCATTCCAGCCCATTGGAATGGTCCCAGTAGCAAAGGCTTGAATAATTTCAGGGCATATCTTAGCTTTCACAATATCCCAAAATTTCTGATAAAAAAAGGGGTGAACACCATCTGGCCCAGGAGCTTTAAAAGGTTTGATACAATGAAGGGCATTCCAAATCTCCTGTTCAGAAGGAAGGTTAGCCAAGTCAGCCAGAGGAGGATTGGAGGGATTCCCAAATAAGTCAGCCACTTGGTAGGAATCAGAGAAGGAATAACACAGGGATGAAGTGAAAAGGTCTTTAAAATAGTCTCTGCACAACACCTTAATATCTTCCAAATTCCATAACCAATTCCCAGCTGAATCCTTAAGAGCATGAATTTTATTTTGGGACCTATGCTTGAGGGCAGTGACATGAAAGAATCGAGAGTTTTTGTCACCATCAACAAGCCAGTTGGTTCTAGCTTTCATAAACCAGAGGTCTTCCTCCAACTTAAGAATGTCTGAATATTCATTGGTAAGGGTCTTTTCCAAATTAGTGAGGAAATTACTATGTTGAGAGGAGAGGAACCTATGAATACCATCTAATCTAGCAAGAATTTTCTTCTTCCTTTTAAATAGGTTCCCAAAAGAGACACGACTCCAAACCTTAGCCTTCTGCATAGTTGAAGATACACATTGAACTGTTGTGGCATCAGCAAAATTCCAAGTGTCGCGAACAAGACATTGAAATTCAGGATGGTCCACCCAAAATTTCTCCATTCGAAAAGGGCGTTTGCCAATCGAAGGATGACTAGGGTCCAAATTCAAGAGTACAGGATTATGATCCGAGTGCACCCTAGGAAGATGGTAAACTGTGGCTTCAGGAAAACAGATTTTCCACTCTGGGTTGCACCAAAATCTGTCGAGACGTTCACGGATGATATTTCCATTAGATTGCATGTTAGTCCAAGTAAACCGCCCCCCAACAAAGCCCATGTCCATCATATTACAAGAATTCATACAGGAAGAATAGGCTTGGACGCGTTTTTGATTAATAGGACCACCTCCAAACTTTTCAGATTGAGAAAGGACATCATTAAAATCACCAGCAATGACCCAAGGCCCAGTAAAGTGGGAAACAAGAGAAGACAGCTCTTGCCAAAGATAAGTACGTATCTCTTGTTGAGGCCTGCCATAAATACCAGAAAAGAACCAATTAAACTCAGAAAAAATAGGATGGTTACTAACCTTAATGATAGCATGAATAGCTTGGGGATTGGCAGCAATAATATCAATAGACACCCGAGTATCATCCCAGAGAAGCCATATACCACCAGCAAGCCCATCCGCATCAATCACATGGTAGCATGGAAATAGGGAAGAGGCTATGTTAGAAGCTTTATCACCAGCAAGCTTAGTCTCCATAATAAGCATAATACTAGGAGAATGGGTAGATTTCAAATCCATAACATGACGCCTGAAGTTTTGGTTTGCCGCCCCGCGACAATTCCAGATAATGATCCTCATTAATAAAAAATCAAAATGAAGAGGTCCAAGTGCTTTCTTGGTTACACGGCTACTACGAGTTAGGATAAGACCCGTTAGCATTTTCATTACCATTCGAGCTGTGGGAAGGTGGAATGGTAGGATTAGAATTGAGAAATCCTTGTTGAGGGAGTCCATCATTCTGTCTTGCTGGTAGCTGCGAAGATAGATTGATGTCGCGATCACCCTGAATTGCATGCACTGATAGTGTAGAAGGTTCTGTTTGCTCTCTAACACTGGTAGTTTGATATGGCCCGCTAACTCGTCGATGGTAGTGCCGACGACGTTGGGGATTAGATCCAATACGGAGAGAAGAACCATTTCCCTTAGAGTTCCTCTGTTCTTCATAAGGAAAAGAAGGAGTAAGCTGTGGATGCTCATCTTGTTGTGGAGGGTGAGCGGGATTCTCCATGCTGGACAAACTTTGAACTTGTTCCCCAAATTGGATCTGTAGGAATCTAGATGTAGCAATAGGCTGATTACCTCTAATATCTGGAGGCTCTTGACATTGCCCTTTAGGAGTATCTGGTGGTTGCAATCCAGGATCAAGAATTAGAGGTTCAGATGGTCCCTCGATGGAAGTAGGGATCAAGGGTAAGATGTGATTAGGGTCAGTAGAAGAAAAAGGGGAAGGAATGAGCGATTCAGTGGATGGAGATGAATGGAGAGAGGAACCATCAACAATTGAGGGTGGGCTTTCCATGACCCTATTATCCAAAATGGCCTTTGGGCTTGGATTTGCCGAGAGGTTGTAAGGCACAGATTTAGTTGGGCCTGTTGGTAGGTTGTTAGGTCTGGACCCATTGTTCCATGGTGCCATTTTCATTTGGGTCTTGAGAGGATTTTGGCTATCTCGGACTTGTGGTTTGGTATTTGAACTACTTGGTTGATGTTGACTAGGAGGAGCCGTTGAGAAGAAGGCATTGGACTTCTGTCCCATAATTAATGAGGGAGCAGTAGCACCGTTGGTGTCTTGGGATTGGTGAATCTTGGAGCCGAGTTTCCGGGTCGGCACTCCGGGCTTACGAGAGTCCTTCTGATGCCTAATTCCGGCGGTTCCTTTCTCTGATTGTTCTGTGAAAGCAGCTTGGCGCCGTCTTGGTCGTCTTCTTTCTACAAGTAACCAAGGGCCATAGTCTCCCTGACTCGATTGAGCTTGATCATGTGGGATGGTTGTAGCTTTCCCTTTGTGGCTCTGCTTGGTAGGACTATTTATATCCTGGGCTTGTTCAGTCTCTGTACCTTGTGGGTCTTGATTAGTGGTGGTGGTAATCCCCACATTTGAAGACTTAGCAATCAATGGAGGAGATAAATTAGAAGACTGAACTGGTGTTGGAGAATGAGTGCAGTGTATGTTTCGATGACCAATCCGTCCACAATTAAAACACAGGGCATTAACGCCCTCATAAAGAACCTTTTGTCGATGTCTACCGATACGGACTTGTTTAACCACTGGTTTTGAGAGATCAACTTGAACACAGATTCGCGCATACTGTCCCCGAGTATGGTGTTCTGTGTGAGCATCAACTCGAAGCAAGTTACCAACCTTGTTTCCAATTTTTTGAAGAGTAGAAGGATCATAATAATCTGCCGATAAGTTTGGCAATTGAGCCCAAACTGCAGTAGTGGTGAATGATTGGAGTGCCTCAGATGGGACAAAATTTGGTTCCCATCTGCGCATAGTGAGGAAGTAAGGACCAACGAACCAGGGACCTCCAAAGATCACTTTATGTAGATCTGCTTCATCCTGAAAGCGAACCAAGAAGAAATCAAGACCAAGATCTATAAAATCCCAATGCCCAGTGGGATTCCATTGAGCTCTAATTCTGGGAAATAAATAGTTATAACCCAAGGTTTTTTTACAGAAAGCTTTAATAATTAAGGCATTAATCCATGGGGATCTGATTCTTTGTTTTTCAGCTTTGGATAGTAGAACAATCGGAGTATTGTCATCGGGATCATCATCGATATCCGATTCCTCATCCATGTAGTCCGGAATGGTTGAGAATGTGAGGGCCACAGAGTCTGTCGTTCTAGTAAGTTTCTCCTTATAGGAGGGTTGACCCCCATCAGACATTTGGATGTCAGAGGCGAGATCTGTTGAAGAAGATGATCTCAGAATATTCCCATTATCTTGATTGCTTGGATGATTTTCAGGAATCATCTGAGCAGAGGCCTCTGTCATTTGAGCTTCCGTATAATTGCCAACCAATGAAATTGAGGGGCCAGAATTCCCATCTTTAATTTTTTTGACACTTCGAGCTAGGAGATCTTGCTCCTGAGCTGACGAACCGGAGGTGGTAACCTCCTTAGGTTGCATGTTGGTAGAGAGAAGCAGGAGCACGTATTCTAGACAGAGAAAATAGAGTTTTGCTTCTATAACCTGTCCTTCTTCGGGCCTAGGAAACCCTCCACTACTTTTCTTTTATATTTTCAACATTTGGAAACAAAATACAATTGTGGAATTCAAATAAGGTTGGCTAGACCGCCCCTGACCAAGACTATAGAAAAGTATAATTACTATAATACCATAAATTTTATTTAAGGGAATTTTGGAGTAAAAGAAAAAAAACTTGTCTTTTGGAAGTCAAGCTAAGTAATGTGGGGTCCTTAAAGACAGTTGGTTTAAGACTTACTAAAAGAGAGCCCTAATTTGGATGGTTTTAGCCATCAATCTTCTCTTCCAAAAGGTTTCTGATTGCAATCATCCGGTACTTTTGGGGATTATGTGGGTCATCGTAAACCATGACTTTGCTCCCAACCCAGTTGCCTACTTGAACAAAGATGATTGGTGGGGTTGCGTTCACGCTGATCTTTTTGTTGGTATTTTCAACGTTTTGGGCTTCAAAGTCTTCCGCCCGCCCCGGCCCCTCCTTCATCTCCTTACATTGACGTTTCAGTAATGAATCCTTTTTTTCTTTTTTGCTTTTTTTTTTTTACTTAGGGAAATTGTTGGGGGGTAGGGAGAGCATTGTCTGAAAATAAATTCTGAAAGTCCTCAGCCCGCCCCGGCCCCTCCTTCCTCTCCTAACATTCATGTTTCGGTAATGAATCCTTTTTCTTTTTTTTTTTTGTTTTTTTTTTTTTTGACTTAGGAAAATTATTGGGGATAAAGAGAGTAGTGTCTGATAATAGATTCTAAAACTTTCACATCCAGACATATTCCCATAAAGGAAATGAACACTAGGTCACATAGTGCCGGATGCTTCGATAATGAATCTAAGGAAATATATAAGAATAGGTAAAATGTGACATATAATTATAATAAATTTATTATTATAGTTTTTTTTTTTACATTTGATAATAATTGATTATATAAGGGGCACTTGGCCCGTGTGGCCTAGTAGCTAGACCTACTAAAAAGTGCACATCCCCCTCCCCTGGGCGGGTTTCGAACCCGTCGCATGACAAAACTGTTCAAAAAAAAATTGATTATATAAGGGGAAATAACTCTTTTTTCTTCCTAAATTCTTCACCACTAGACTCAAATTTTGAATTTGAAATTTTCAATTTAAAATTTTCAATTTAAAATTTTAAGTTCTTATCCATTGAACTAGTGTTTTATATTATAAGTGAATTTTTGAATAAAAATATACATATATAAATAAG